TCCACCGTTTATGTGGCATGCACACATTGGTGATGTTAATATGTTCAAAAAAAATACATCACCAATGTGTGCATGCCACATAAACGGTGGACATATTAAAATGTGTCTACCGCGCGTCTTGTATATGTCACTCTTTAAACTCCATCAATCTTGCACAAACACAAAATTACCCGTAGCCAAAAATGAAATATTTTGTAAGAAAAAATGGTTTTGTTCCGAATCTATTTTTTGTAAGTGAAATACTTAAAATATGCTAACATATTTTAAGGTGAATGGGGGAAATTAGTTTTAAGTTGTATATGTGGGAAATGTAAAGTTGGAGCAATGAGTTTAAGTAGCTCAAATTATTGGATTCGTAAAACAATCTGCCTTTGACGAATGTTACGATAATCCAACGAGGCCTGATCATGCAGTTTGAATGTTACTCTAGAAGAGTTCGTTGGGGACACAGAAAAATGATACTACTCGATTATGAGTTTGTATGAGCTCATACGAGTACTCGTCGCACAGGCGCGCAGCTGGCTGCAGACACCGAAAGGTTGCAACCCTTGGTGAGTATAAGGTGTCTTTTGGCATTTAATAATTACGTTCTTCTTAAGACAAAATTATCCCGTAAAATACACACGGTTAACGACATACGTCTCCAAGATACGACTTTCGACTTGTATATAGTGGTATTTCAAATATACAAGCCTTCGACGAACAATACTATTGTTTGAAACTCTCAAGACTTCACGATAAAACCGAAGAACACAATATGTTTTATGAACTTTGAAAATGTAATGCAAGATCTTAATTTTTCAAGTTGTGAATGGTTTCATGTATTTTGGTATTTATAGATGGAGGAAACTAACTTCAGGAGGTTTAAGTGTCAAAAGATACCTTTTGGGACGTTCTGAAACTAAAACTGTGATCCTAGAGGCCAAAAGACACCTTATGGTCACCATGGGTCGCGACCTTTCGTTGACCACAACCACTGTGCATTCTTGCGCCGCGGGCTCGTACGAGTTTATCTGGACTCAAAATCGAGTTCCGGTTTTTTTACTCGTCTTCGACGAGCCTTATAGAGTTAAAACATGCAAGCGACATGATCAGGTTTCGTTTGGATAATCCTAACATTCATCAAAGATAAAATGTTTTGCGAATCTAATAATTTTTAGTTACTTAAACTATTATTTGCTTCAAATTTAAAATGCATGGTTTTGAAAATTTCTCTAAGTCTTTCACTTAGGAAAAGCCGTAAAATCGGTACAAAACTAATTTTTCATACAACTTCATTTCCGTAAGGGTTAATTGCCAAAAAAATCACGACCTTTCGTTGAATTGTAAATTAATCTCAACTTTTTCAGTTTTGCAAATGAATCTCAACCTTTATTAATTATTACAATTTTGTCTCAAAATTGAATTCCGGCCATCCGCCGCCACCGACCGCCGCCTGTCTCCGGCCAACCTCGCCGGAATTGAAAATTTTTTATGTCATCGTGTAGCTCTCCTTCCGGGCAACAACATATCCGAAGTTCGTGTAAAATTTACGACAATAAGGGGTCTAATTTCTCGGTAAAAGCAAGTAGATCTACAAATTTTATCCACCGTTCTTTCGCAATTTTTTGGCGACTCGCTTTGGCCCACACGAATCCAAAGGTACCGTTGAACTCCTCTCACCGAGCCGCTTCTATTGACATTCACCATCGCCGAAAACAATGACTTTTTTCGGCGACGAGTTTTCCGGTCATCTATTGACTGAGAAATTGGACCCCTTATTGTCATAATTTTTACACGAACTTTGAATATATTGTTGCCCGGAAGGAGATCTAGAGCTACACGATGACGTAAAAAATTTTCAATTCTAGCGAGGTTGGCTGGAGACGGGCGGCGGATGGCCGGAATTCATTTTTGAGACAAAATTGCAATAATTAATAAAGGTTAAGATTTATTTGTAAAATTGAAAAAGTTGAGATTATTTTGCAATTCAACGAAAGGTCGTGATTTTTTTGACAATTAACCCTTTCCGTAATGAAAAAAGTTCTCGAATTTTGAAATTTGGAGTGTATCATAAAATGAAGGTAGACGAAAGTTTTCGGTGAAAATGGAGGATGAAATTGAAGTCACCGCCTGAATTTTTTATACTTATCAAAATGGAAATGGAGAGGGTACATATTTATAATAATTCGAACACTAAATTTAAGAGAATTACTATGAAATGATTACATAACCCATTGAAAATCGCAATTTGAAAGTTATAAAATAAAAGGACATGTGTAAAGAAATATAGGGAGTAATCAACTATTTTCTTATGTTGTCTTATAAGTTTCAAGTATTAACTCATTCTCATACTGAAAATTCAAATCCATCTTTGCTGCGGAGCAGCTGCCCCCATTAACACGAGGTGTTGGCCCGGGCTTCGCGCCCTTGAGCCCTACGGCTTCAACAGTGCTTGAGAGAGACATATCAAACGAGGAAATCTCACGGGCTCTCAATGACATGAGCCCTCTAAAAGCACCCGGGGTTGATGGACTACACGCCCTTTTCTTCAAAAGCCAATGGCCGACGGTGGGGAACTCGGTGTGCAACCTGATTCGCTCCATATATTCGGGAGATGATATGCCGCCTGAGATTAATAAAACACTTCTTGTTCTCATCCCAAAGCTTGACCAGCCCGAAACGATTAATCAATTTCGTCCCATTAGCCTTTTGAATGTTGTGTACAAGTTATTTACGAAGGTACTCACTAACAGAATGAAACCTCTACTCTCTGGCTTGATTGGCCCGGCCTAGTCAAGTTTTATTCCCGGAAGGCAAATTCATGACAACATCATTGTGGCTCAAGAACTGATACACTCTATGCGTACTAGAAATGGAGCCACGGAGCACATGGTGGTGAAAGTTGACCTCGAAAAAGCATACGACTTCTTGCGATGGGAATTTGTTGAGGATACCCTCCTCCTTGCAGGATTCCTGTTGAATTTTGTCTCGGCCATCATGAAATGCATCACCACCTCACACATGCAGATACTTTGGAATGGTGTGACGAGTAAAGAATTTCGACCGTCGAGGGGAATCCGCCAAGGCGACCCTATATCACCGTACCTGTTCGTCCTTTGTATTGAACGCCTTGCGCATGCCATTCAAAATGCGGTACGAGAAAGGAAGTGGAAGCCGCTATCCGTGGGACGCGGTAAAGTGTAAATTCCATACTTGCTCTTTGCCGACGATTTACTCCTTTTCCTCGAAGCCTCGATCGACCAGGTAAATGTTCTGAAGGAGGTCCTCACAAAGTTTTGTAACTCTTCGGGCCTGAGGGTGAGCGATTCCAAAACGAACATCTTTTTCTCAAAGAATGTATCAGCCTAGGACGGACGAACCCTTTCGAATTTGATGGGTTTCACTATGGTCGATGATCTTGGCTCCTATCTGGGCGTGCCTATTATCCATGGAAGGACCACGAACAGCATTTATGAGCGAATCATTGAGAGAGCGGACAAACGTCTATCGGGCTGGAAAGCAACTTCATTATCAATGGCGGGTCGAGTGGTGCTGAACCAATCTGTAGTGAGTTCTCTTCCATATTTTACAATGCAATCTGCCTGGCTACCTAACTCCATCTGTGAGGGTTTGGAAAAGCGATGTAGGCGGTTTCTCTGGGGAAGCTTGCAGGACAAACGTAAACTTAGCCTAGTGAAGTGGGAGGAGATTTGTATAGCGCGATAATCCGGTGGGCTGGGCTTGAAAAGACAACGAACAATGAACGATGCCTTGCTAATGAAACTGGGATGGCAATTTCTCACCAACCGGAATGCGCTTTGGATTGATATCTGGAAAGCAAAATATGGGAATAACCCTTTCTGGGATACTACTGTGAACCGTAATCCGACCTCCGTCGTAATGCAGGCTGTGCGCAAAGTTTGGAAACATGTTGTGGGTGGGGCCCGTTGGGCTGTTTGTGACGGGACCAAAGCGAAATTTTGGACGGACAGATGGCTACCGTCGGGCACTAGCTTGCTACAAGCAGCTACTGGAGATGTTCCGCCGGACATCTTCGACAAGCCCGTCAATTTCTTTGTATCAGAAGGGGCAGTTTGGAGATGGCAACTCTTCGCACATTTAGTCCCTGCTTCCACTCTTCTCCAAATTGCGGCAATCCCAATGCCGCGGCCAGAGCTGGGGCCCGATAGACTTTACTGGGGTTTCTCCTCGACAGGTAAATTCACGACGAAGTCCGCGTATGACATGTTGGATGCCGCTGGTAAGCCAGAAACGGCCTCGACGTTGAAGCCTGTATGGCGCGCAGTGTGGCAATGGCCCGGGCCCCAATGTATTAGGATCTTCCTTTGGCTGCTCACGAAAAATAGACTGCTAACTAACGTGGAGAGACGAAGGAGACATTTGACGGCAGATGGTATTTGTGCAATTTGCGGTCAGACCGACGAGACGATTCTACATGCCTTGCGAGATTGCTCACTAGCAGCCGAAGCTTGGAGGGACCTGCTACCTCGGCCAGCCATCTCTGATTTTTTCTGCACAGACCTGGTACAGTGGATTTCATCGAACCTGCTGAATTCATTAAGTGTAGGAGGAGCGAATTGGGCATGCATCTTTGGAGTGGCTGCATGGAAAATATGGAAATGGAGAAATGAATTCATCTTCCAAGGCAAACGACGAACAGGAATCGGAGGAGTGCATGAAATCCTGACCTATGTTGAGGGTCTGAAGAATCTCATTGAGAACGATAGGAAACTTGGGGGGTCGGGCCGGGTAAGAATGGAGCGTTGGATACGGTGGGAGAAACCACCGGCGGGGTGGGTGGGTTAAAGTTAATTCTGACGGCTCTTTCAATGCGAGATTGGGCCTTGGTACGGCAGGTGGTCTAATTAGAGATGAATATGGAAAGTGGATAGGGGGTTTTTTAGTTAAAATTGGGCCTTGCTCGATTATGGCAGCGGAGTTATGGGGCTTATATTGGGGACTCGCTTTGGCTTGGGGAGTTAGGATTTCGGAAAGTTGAAGCGGAAGTGGATAATGAAAGTGTAGTGCGATTTACTAGATGTTTTGAGGTTGAGCCAGGGGTGCACATAAATCTAATTTTGGGCATACAAGAGTTACTCAGTCGACCTTGGAATGTTAAAGTGAAACATATCTTCCGTGAGGCGAATTTTGCAGCTGACTATTTGGCTTCCTTCGCATCGGATGGTTTGATAGGATATCACGTCTTACATGACCCGCCGGATGGGATTCGTCAGTGGCTCCACCATGACTTTCTTGGCGTAGCTTATACGCAGGCAGTGTGCAACTAAACCTATAGGCCTTGGTCTA